ACTTTGCTTTCATTTCATGAAACCTTTTCAAGCCATTTTCACTTCTCAACAATTTCATTTGTTGTTGGAGTGTTAGACATTCCATGATTTCTGTTGCATGGGTTTCACAGAAATCCAAAAAATCACAGCCACGACCCGATTTTGTACTGTGGCGCAACACGCTCAAATCCATTTTTTTTGAAGCGGGTTTTCGCTGTGGTTTGGACATGATTATTGAGTTCTGAAACCAGCTGTATTTATCGTTTTTATTATAATTAATGGTTAATTTTATTAATAATTATAATTTGAAGTGTTTCGAAAAATTGTCTTTATTCTTTCCCAACAATTTGACATCTAATCGCAATATATAATTATAAAATTTGGGTGATTTCCCGTTTCTTTATGTAAAAATTGACTCTTTATTTTCTATTTTTCTTGTTATCAAGAAAATAAATTTAAAAAACGATTGTGTGACCATAACTTTGATACTCATGATTGTGTATAGATTGCTGCCAATACAAATGTCGTTTGTAATAAAGAGGAGTACTCAAATTTAACAATAATATAATTTTTCAATTTCATTTCTTATTTTACTCAAAAAATGAAAGGGAGTGAAAAAAAGCACTTTCATTTTCTTTTTTTGATAAACGCGAGTGATTATGAATAATGTTATATCAATAATGTTCAATAAACAACTCCTGGTGTTATACAATTGACAACTATTTGTCATACTGTCAACTATCGTTTTTATGATTGTCTTTGTTTATGTTCTATTTTTGGAACATGGTGAAAAATAAGCACTTTCATTTTTTCAGAAACTATATTAACTATACTGAACTATACTTGTTTTTTGAATTACAAAAAAACATTTTTCGATTCAAAATTGAAAATGTTATACATTTTATAAAATCAACATGCAAAAATGTAGCGATCGAAAAGAAAACAATTCGTTTTAAAAATACACTCCTTTGTTATAAATAGTTTTATTTGCTCAAAAACATATTTTCAATATTATTTCAATGATGCGAAGAAATTTGTATCTTTTCTTGAAATACAAAAATAAACCGAACCTTTATTCAATCAACGATCATTTTTACTCAACAACCTTTTTTACTATGACTTTAGTAGTTATTTTAAGATTGGGGTTAAAGTATTTAATGACTTTTATTGTTCTCAAACTAAAAAGATTTTCTTCTTATTACAAAAGAAAAACAGTAATTGTGGGGGAAAATGAACAACTTGAAACCAGTATTAGACATATCATGTTTATTTTTTAAATGTTCCCAGAAATGTATTGATTTAGCCAATCAAATGAAAATATGAGGCAAAACAATTATATGGTGTATTATGGTTAATGTCCGTTATTTATCAATGGTAATATCTACGAAAAAAGGCAAAAAAGTAAATTGTGTAAATCACAATTTGTACCATAAAAGCAAATTATTTAATAGTTAATTTTACTAATATTTTTTAAAAATGTCATTTAATAGAAAAAAAACCAAAAGTCAATTTTGCCATTTTTATTTATCCAAAAAAATCGCCCGTATTTTTAAATGGAAATTGTGTTAAATTTCAAAAGGGTTTTTATTAATTAAAAATAATTTCCAAAATTCATCAAAAAAGAAACGATATATTTACAATAAGAGTACTATTTAAAAAAATATAATACAATTTGTTCATAAGTGTTTTAAAACAAATAAACACTTTCGTGATAAATTATATTTTTAACGTGAAAAATAATGTTTAATAAATATAAACATAATATAATTTG